AAAACAAACTGAGGGTTCTAGAGGGGAGGGGGGTGGGAGGATGGGTTAGCCTGGTAATGGGTATTGAGGAGGGCGCATTCTGCATGGAGCACTGGGTGTTATGCACAAACAATGAATCATGAAACACTACATCTAAAACTAATGATATAATGTATGGGGATTAACATAAGAATAAAAAAAATAAAATAAAATAAAATAAAAAGAAAGAAAGAAAGAAATAATCCTTAAGAAATCCAATCTTTCTCAACAACTTCTTTTCCTCCCTTACCCAACCGCATCCTGCAAATTGATACAGGGTAATCCTTAGCCCTTGCAAGCACTCATGGGCAGTATGTGCAAAGAAGAATGGCAAGGGAACAGCTAATGGGAGCTAGATCAGCTGAATTATGCACAGGAGGAAAGAAGACAAAGAAATAACAGGAAACAGGAACACAATACCAGACACAATAAGTCCCCAAAGCAATAATTATATTATGATTTCTCACCAGCTGGCTTAGAAATTTCAAACCTTCTATTTTCTAGTTTCCCAAGTAAAAGGCTCTCCTAGTATGGGGAAATACCTCCATTGCTTCCCTATGTTCTTGATGCTGCACTAGAGAGCAAATCATTGATAAAGATTCTAAAATGAACAAGACACAGGAAAACTACTACCTTCCCTCAGCATGAGGTCTTAGACCTTTCTTGCAGGTCAGCCTACACTTTGTTCATGAGAAAGAATTCAAGATTGGGCTTGGACTATCTTAGAGGCATCTCTTCTGACCAAAGGCATCTCTTAGCCCCCCAAAATGCACCTTGTCCAATAGGTATTTCATGAATATCCATGATGTTCTATATGCTCTGCTGGGGATACGGCAAGAAATAACAGAGCACCCCACTCCTTAAGAAGCCAAAAGTCACTTAGAGTTCCAGCAGCACTGAATTTACACTGAATGAAGAGCTAGAGATTCTGCAGGATGACATGCCTTGAGGCAGAGAAGAAAACAAATGTACAAACACTCTTTGCTCCAGCAGAGGGAAGAGACAAAGACTAAGAGAGATAGGACAGAAAGAAAGAAAGTGGGGGGAAGTAGGGAGGGAGGGAGGGAGGGAGGGATGGAGGGAGGAAGGAAGGAAGGAAGGAAGGGAGAAACAGTAAAATAAATAAACCAAAAGAAAAAACTGGGGCAGAAGATATGATAAATGAAGAATATATGTTCTTGTAAATCTAAAGTTCTCACTTGCAAGATGAGATAAGATATCCTTGCCTATTAATCTGGAATTAAAATGTTTGAATCCTTGAACTCCTCCAAGAAACTCAATCTTTAGAAAGACCCACTGGTTTTCAAATAATTGACACGTATCTCTCAAACATGGAAGAATACCCCTAAGACTTTAATACACAGTATCTACTTTGACTAACTGGGAAATGAGAGGAAACAGATACTTCACTTTAAGAATAAGGGTTGATGGAGGGAGGTGGGTAGGGGAAGGGCTAGATGGATGATGAGTATTAAGAAGGGCATTTGTTATGATTCACTGTTGTATCTAAGTGATCAATCACTGAATTCTACTCCAGAAATAAATATTATATTGTATAAAACTGCCTAAAATTTAAATAAAAATAAATAAATCAAAGTAAATTTATTTTTTAGTAAAATTAAATTTAAAAAATAAAATTTAAAATTAAAAAAAAGGAATAATGCACATGACATGGTTTTGTGACATGGTTCAAGACATTCATCTCTTCCAATTCTCACATGTAATCTCAAAGAATGTTTTAGGGGAATCCAAAATGATTCATATTTCAGATGCCCTGTTGAGTATGAAACTTTTGTAGCCCATCGCCATCCATTATCATGGTCAAAATGATGACTACAGATCTCTACTTTCTCCAACGGAACAAGTCTATACCATATGTGGCTGACCTAGCACATGGCTCCAGAGGTACACATGAAACCATGACCATACAATCTGCATATTCATTTCCTTGGTCAGACTGTTTAAAACCTTAGCACATGACCCTTAGCACAGGACCCAGAGACAAGATCTAGAGAGACAGAGACTATCGTGATGACATTGAGTATCTGGATCCGGTCATGCCTGAGGCCAACTATCTTCTGGATTTTTAAAAAATGTGAAATAAAATAAAAGTCCTACTCTGCCTAAATCAGTTTGAGTTGAATGCTCTTCATTTGCATTGATAAGAATCCAGGCAATACATTCCATGTATGTTTTCCCATCACACACAACCAACTTGATCATACATATATTCATAACTAATTGCCTGCCTAACTGCCTTATAGCCAGAATGAACATAAATTCTTCTTCTGCAGGTTGCATTTGAATGCCTCTATCTCCGAAGCCCTTCAAAAGAACAGCTAACCTCTGTAATACTGCTCATCAAACATCAAATCTCTTAGGTGTTCTAACATGTCAGCTCAGTTGTTGGCTACTAGGATCTCAAGGACAGACAGATCAACTGCAAATACCAGCTCATCTGTCATGCACAACCTCCTAGAGCCAAAAAACTGTCAAACTCCCCAAGTTCTGCTCTCTCCACTCCCAGCACCTCTATCACTGAAGATTCCTGGAAAGTTTTCTATCTCAAATCAAATGAAGAATGATAGATGAAACACAGAAGAGGCGCAAATCACAAATTAAGTTCATTGGATGAAACATAACTTTATAACATGTTAAGATTTATATTTTTCCCTGAATGAGCTTAGAGGGAACAGTTATAACCTATTCATAACTCTATGTTGGATTTTTAAGTTGTTTTGATCAATGGCTGGTTGTAATTTTATAAAAGAATCTCTCCAGTGACACAAATACTGTTGTATCCCGGAGGAACTGCAGAACTAATCAATCACTCTTACATAACAAGCACTCACTGTGAAAATAATGTCCTCGACCGAACAATGAACTTGAACACATATTCCAAAGCTTTCAGAGTTCTTAGGATCGGCTCACATTGCTCCCCTCTGCTGGAGGTATCCAAGTAAGTCTTCAGCACTGTCATCAATTTCCTGAATAAGGGATTATATTTTCAAAATACATCTCTGTCCAGCCCACAATGTGATCATTAGTTTGCTCCATAAATCATAAAGCATTCAATCAAAGGTTAAAGGTGGTGGTATAGCTAAGCTTACTCACTCGTTTGCAGCCATAAAAATAACTTTGCTTTATATATATATAAATTTATATATAAATTTTTTTATATATAAATTTATATTATATATATAATACAGGGAGTGAATTAATATTTCTTGCCCATAGAAAGCCAGCAAAGGAAAAACTAGTGAGGAAAAAAAAAATCTTTTGACTAGGAGAAGTAGTCACAATCAGAATATGAGTAGGAATAATGGTGGTGAGAATGCTCTTTTCAGCATTTCCTTCCTACAGAAAATGTTCTAATAATATTATGGAATTCCCTTGTTGAGAAACTTTCCATGTTTCTTCATTACCAGCCAGGCAGACTTCAAACTATCCAGCCCAGCTTTCAAGGTTGCTTTACAAACTGGCTTCTCCCAACCTTTCCAGTATCACCTCCCATCTATAACCATCAGCCCCCATACCCAAGTTATAATGGGCTACCTGGCCTGTGTGCTTTCTCCTCCCTAGCCTCTGAATCCCAGTGTCTATCACAAGTAGCTGCTCAATAAATGATAGCTGAATGAATGAATGCTTTCATGTACTTCTACCACAATAAAATATTCATTCTGACCTATGGGTTTGCATATTTTTATTTAATCCAAATAACCCAGCATAGATGGGGTTTTATCAGGAAAGGGAGAACTCACACAGCCTGGTACAAAGGAAAATACTCAAGTTCCTTGTGCCCTGGGCATCCTGGCAGGGCAAGTAAGAGGTGCACAAGAAATCCCCATATGTACAGTAACTTACTTGTAAGCCAAGGTCGCACTGAAATGCTGTTGAATGTAAGCCTCCAGAACGGTATTGAAATGCTGGAATTTTCGGTCAGCAATGAGTCCTATTATGTAGATCTGAGGAAGATTCAAAGAATCAGTATTTGGGGGTCAGACCCAAGGCAGGAAGCCATACTCACATGGCATAACTGAACCTCCAGCAAAATGATTTTGCTCAGGAATTAGCTCATGAATATATTGTTAGTCCTTTTCATTAGTCCTCTTCTAAAAAGCATTCCATGAAGTGTGCTACAGGGTGTTGTAGGATAAAAGTGTTTCATGGTCAGATAAGTTTGACAAATCTCAGGATATCATTGTTGGACTGACTTCTTTACTGCAGGGTTCTTAGAGTCTTTAACATATCTACATGCATTGTGAATCTCTGAGAGGGTCATACAGTGTCCAGCACATCCCTAAGAGTTATTTAATCCAAGGATCTTTTTTGTCACAAAGCATCTTTCTTGAGGGCTAGCTTTCCAAGAGACCTTCTGGGAAGCACTGGATTAAGTCACAGCTGTCTCCAAGTACTCTCTTTAAAATGTAAATGTCACTGACATAAGTAGTTAACATATTGAACTTTATTGATATCCTGGTGTGGACATGACACTGAAAAAACATGAGTTGGGACAGAGAGGAGGAAGAAACCATTTGGGAAGATGGAAGAGGAATGGTCCGGATGGAGGGCCACCATAAAACATTCTGGTGGCCAGGAGGATGTAATGACACTGGTAACTTGGAGACTATGAGAAAGAAGAAGATAGGAAACATTTTGGATACTTCACGACCTGGCCAAGGACTAGCTCCCAGCATTTGTGGAAAGCTGAAGCCATTATTCATGGTATCCAGCTTCACGTACTTGCAACCAGTGCCAATAGGACATCAACGCTTAAAATTCCCCCTTTTTTTTTTTTAAAGATTTTATTTATTTCTTTGAGAGAGAGAGAATGAGAGACAGAGAGCACGAGAGGGAAGAGGGTCAGAGGGAGAAGCAGACCCCCTGCTGAGCAGGGAGCCCGATGTGGGACTCGATCCCGGGACTCCAGGATCATGACCTGAGC